AAACGATTTTCTTGTACAGGCCATAGTTTTTCTACTCCTTGTTTTATCAAAGAGATTTCCAGCTGATCCAAACTTTCATCAGCTACCTAGTCGTCTTAGCGACGTTGTCATCGACGTTTGTCTGTATCGTTGTCACTCTGCAGTAGGGAGTTGAGAGCATCATTTTCGCGCCTCTTTTCAACATTAAGCTTCAGGTCCGTCCTCAAGGGTTTCAAATATCTTTCTCAGCGCATGTATTTACTGTCGCGCAGATTTGGAAAGAGATATCCGTTTAAATTTCCATACGTCTGCCTCAACACCCCGAGAAGGCATACTAGTACCTTGCTAACCGTCGCATCAGTGTTTAAATGGTCGATTCTACTTTGAGATATTTCTTCTGTTTATTTTGATAAAATTAGTACAAGAAACGGTTTTATTATACATAGCGCAAGGTGCTGGTTTATCAGAACAGGGGTTAAAAGATTTTCTGCAAGGGTGAGGTGATTGATTGATTATGGACATCGAAAGGTGTAGGCCGTGGGGAGCCGTAAAGCAGAAGTCACGGTGGTATTTTCCGGATAACAAGCCATTCACAAAGAAGATACTCCATATTTTTTCGTGCTTTGTGCTTCTCCATCTGCGTGCTTCATGAACATACTGTAAAGTTTTATTAAGTCCTTAAATTTACGTTATAACAGCAAACATTGTTCGTCATATTCTGCGTCTGAGTGATTCTTCACCCTTGACTTTCCTCTTATACAATATTCTGATATCGTAACGCGATGGTCACAATGGATACAATTTATAAAATCACTTTGTGCGATACATATGCTGATGTATCGAACTGACGCATGCCCCCCCCTCCCCACCAACACCCACGTATTTTGTCAATGTTACTTTCATAGGCAACGCCATTTATGGCAGTCAAAGCTAATCAAGTTATAGTCCTCCATTTTAGTTATGTTTGAAGAAGATAATGTCGTGCCCGCCCGGCTTCCAGACGGTCCGTATCGCCAAAGCCAAGAACAAACCGGGGAGCTGCTGTGATAAGTACGAATGCGTTCCGTTAGGTAAGATTCGGCGGTTAGGAATTCGGCGCCGTTGCACGTCGACGTTTAGAGTACGACTGCTCGCATGTCAAGTGTACGAAGCCGTCGGTCGAGAAGTGTCCGAGCGACAGCTACCGTCCCCCGGAAGTACTGCCTGAACACGGATGTTGTCCAATCATCGAACCGTGCCGCTGCGCAGCTGGCAAATGTCCGCCGGTTTCGTGCTTGCCGAACCATCGGCTGAACATCACCAGGAAAGGAAACGGCACCCCCGGTTCTTGTTGCGACCTCTTCGACTGCATACCGAGTAAGTGATCTGATGAGGCAGTAATATTTTTCTTTTGGCCGTAACCACGTGTTCCTGTTTCGTACGGTATTACGGCGTTGATTTTATCACACTTGTTCATATAGTCTCGAAATGATCATCCGCCCAGCTTATGTTTCAGTGTCAACTTAATAGAAGTGAATTGACAGTCAGGTGTAAAGTCACATGGAATTAAAAGCAAACCGCACTGAGTATATGAGAAATAAAACATTAATACCCTGACGTAATTAACCTGTGGAATAGCGCTTTATGACCTTCGTGAGATTCCACTCCTCCATCTTTCGTAGTTGCTCAGCTTAAGCAGGATTATACCGTGAGACACGCATACTACTTTCAGAACCGTCGAATTTTTTTTGAAGCCTCAGGGTGTGAGGTCTACAAGAGACAGATAGGACAGTAAGGATATTCATAAGGTTGAAGGGGCGGCAGCCTCAGCTTTGACCGTGGAACTGGACTAAACGCGAGATGGCGTAGAATTTCTTAGTGTAATAGATACGGTTCTTATTTCTCTCAATTACCACTTGAACCATAAGAACCAAAATCTAATCGGATATGCGCTTCTCTTATGCACATCGCTTCAGTGTCTGTCAGGTCTCTTCAAGTCATGTGTAAAAATGGTTCCATACCAGAAGTTCTGCCATAAGGGTATATGCATGTAACATGAGGTCAAATACTGTCACTACGTCGGTCGTTGGGTTATCACCTCATTATTCCCATTGTGTTTTGCTTATCATTGTTCGATGAACCGTGTCGTTGGCCGTGGAGCGGTATGACAGACAACATGGAACAAGCCATTCAGTTTAAAATATGGTCGATTTCTTTCAAATACATAAATCATCTTCAGACAAGTAGATTTCCGTCTAATAAGTGGTGCTAAACATGGAATTTTCTCTACTCGTCCCGTTGCATGAAACACTGCACTGGATGCCATACGGGTATTCCATGAATCGAATTGAGGCATGCCAGCTCTTAAGCCTTTCGAAGCATTCCCAGCTCTGAGAAGGCTTTCAGTCTTATTGGAAATCTTCATCCGATTGTCGTAACGTTTGTATTCAGTATCACGCTACTTCTTTTCGTTAACGATGATCTCGTCATCGTAATGCTTTATTGACGACCAATCATTCACCTTGGCTCCATATTCTGTTTTCTCTTACGACAACATATTACTCCAGGTCATAATACTCTGCTGCTAATATTGACATTAAAATATTGTCATCGCTTCCAGGTTTCCACTGTCATTTGCTCTGCTAGTGCAGAATTGCAGCACATCCGCAGCTTTTGCTATGGTGGACCTTCCTTGTTCTTCCAATGCTAACTCTCAGCACGTCTTAACTCCGTTTGTCGTTCGCATTTCTGCAGTCAAGTTTCTCGATGATATACAAATTCGGATGTTTTCCACTGTATCTTCAGTATCAGTGGTAATACAGTTGCTAATTTGCTCCGTGTACGTTTATTTGTATCTTTTTTTT